TAAAACATTCTTCCATCACAAACAGGCGAACATTAGGATCAGATATAAATCTTTTTTTTCTTTATCATACTAAAAATAATCAATGTTAACTAATGTCGTGTTATCTATACTTTCAACTGCAAATTAGTGCTGAAGGCTGTAGGGTTCAGTTAAAAAGTATGGTGTTCTCCTTATACAAGGTTATATTGAACAGAGACTCATGAGAAAATAATCAATTCCCAATATTTTTACTGCATGGTTAATTCCAAGGAGAAGTTTACCTTTACCTGAGAGACCGCCTCCTGCCAGTCACCTCCCAAAGACCTATTAGATCCCACAGACTAGGCCTCCTCCGGATTCCATCTGCCGGCCAATGTCGGCTGGCGACTCCCCGGGGGAGGGCCTTCACTGTGGCTGCTCTGGCCCTATGGAACGATCTCCCTGTTGAGATCCGAACCCTTACTACCCTTCCGGCCTTCCGCAAAGCAACTAAAACCTGGCTGTTCTGGCAGGCCTGGGGCTGTTGAATTATCCAGCCCCATCCGATGTTATGACTGTTGTTGAATTTTTAATTTTTGTTTTTATTTTTGTACCCCCCTTCCCTTCTTATTGTTAGCCGCCCTGAGTCCCACGGGAGTAGGGCAGCATACAAGCTAAATAAATCTAATCTAATCTAAGTTTGGAATATGTTTGAGGGTAAAAGCAGGATTTGCTACTTCCTCTCCCAGATGATATATATTTAAAATAAGACTTAAGACTTAAAGCAGGAATTTTTATCTGCCCAGATGAAAAAGCATTTTTATTAATGCAAGCCAAATGTAATACATTTCAAGAGATAAAATGCTTTCAAATTAGCACACAGAATCACATAAGAGGAAATTTAGGAAAGATCAGTATGAACCATATCTTTACTCAAATGTTTAGTTTCCCAAATATTTTTCAATCTCGATTGCCTATTCAGTGATAACTATATAATTATCTAACTCTATTGCGCAAATCTTTTTTCCATCTATTTTAAATTCATTTTGTATTAAGGTAAAGGTAAAGGTTCCCCTTGCACATATTTGCTAGTCGTTCTTGACTCTAGGGGGCAGTGCTCATCTCCATTTCAAAGCCGAAGAGCCAGCATTGTCCGAAGACATCTCTGTGGTCATCTGCCAGGTTTAATATGACTAAATGCCAAAGTTGCACGGAACACTGTTACCTTTCCACCAAAGGTGGTGCCTATTTTTCTACTTCCATTTTTACATGCTTTTAAGCTGCTAGTTTGGCAGAAGCTGGGACAAGTAACGAGAGCTCACTCCATTAAGCGACACTAGAGATTTGAATCGCCAAATTGCCAACCTTTCTGATCGACAAGCTCAGCATCATCTTATTCACTGAACCACCATATCTTTTTATTTTGTATTATAAAGAAAATTTAAATGAATTTCTTTTTAGCAGTAGCAGTAGTAAGCAGTATTACAGTGCATTATCACCTATTGCAAATATTTCAGGACTCTGCAAACTAAATAAAAATTGCATAGTGAATCTGTAATAGGTGATGAATTTTACTCTTCCAAGTAGACAAAGCAGAAATAGATTCAGGATTTTTCCCCTCCTAAGAAAGGCTTAGCCTTGAAAAAGTTGAACCAAGACTATTTTTAACTAATTAAACATTACAAGAGGGTTTAAAATAAGATGTGCCCCCCACCCACAGCTAAGCTCTTTTAAGTCTTATTGATTTCACTTATATTCCTCTAAGATCAATAATGAAACTTGAAAGTTTTTGGTGAAATGATGCTCATACTGATTAATATCAAAATCTTTCTCTCCTTCAGCCACTTATATTGATTCATTTGACTGATCATGGAGAAGCTTTCTGAATGAGCAAATGTTTTCATTTGATGTAATCATAAAAACCATAATGTCTTGCAGCTTCCCCCCAGTTACATTTTTCAAAATTCAGTAAATTGATTTTCCAGAATCAAGGCCACCTGAAATACAATCCTATTGATGTTATTGTTTCCAGATTCATTTTTAGATCCAGGAAGCTGAGGATACTTCCTCTGAAAATATCACTAATGGGGTTAACTTGGCATTTATAACTTCCTGAGGAAATAAAGATGAAAATAAAGCTTGCCTACATTGGGCTTCCTAGAAAAATGCTTTCAGGTGCTTTCAATGTTAGATAGTATCCCACCACCCAATTTAACCCTCACATGCATTTCAACCACCTAAAAACGGGTAGAAACACAGCAATAGTTAAAAGGAAGCATTAGGCTTTCCAATAATGATGCCAGCTAACAGAATGCAAAATATTCTTTCTAAGAAAAGGTGCTTTCAAGAATTAATGCATCCATTGTTTTTTAAATGATGATAATGCTTGCTCATTTACACTAATGCATTACAAATGAACTGCATTATTACTGCAAATTTACAGTAATATAATCAAATGAAATAAGAATACAGTAGCAAGGAACACATTTCAATAATTCTGATACTGAATACATTATATAAAGGAAGGAAGGAACGGAAGGCAATGGGAAATCACCTGTTTAGTATGGTTACTAAGAAACCAATATAGGGACTTCCTTTGGTGACACCATCGTGCTTAGAGCTGAGGAACGGGAGCTCTCCTAACCTCTAACTCTAACTTCTTTGTTTGGGCTCATTTCTTAGTGCTGTGAATCCTGAAGGGATCAGCAGATTAAGGGGGAAACTCTGAAGAATCTGGGGTGATAAGGCAAATCCCCCAGCGGGTAGAAGAAACCCACTAAACGGACGAGGATCTATCCTGCTACTTGGTTAGGACCGGAGCGATGGCGACTGCATAAGAAGGAAGCAGAGAGAGAAAGCAGTTGAAATCGAGACACCTGTTTCTATTATTGACAACCCAAAGAAGAGAAGGACAACGTGAAATTGGCAGAGAGGGTGAGCTGGAAAGAAAGAGGTTCTGGGAAGGAGACTGTTTTTGCAGTTCAGATTTTTGCCGAATAGAAATGAGAGCATAGACAATGAGTTGGAATTGACAGCCTGAATAACTTGAAGGAAATTGGCTACAGTGAGAACGAAAACCCAGCATGGACAACAGGAGTAGAACATAGTAACTGCTGAGAAGACTTGGAAGGCACAGAAAGGATTGTTTAACAGTTGGGTTGGTTGTTATTTTTTTTCTTCTTGCTCTTCCTTCTACTGTTTTGTTTTTCCCCAAAAATAGTTGAACTTGCAAGTATTTGGTATTTATTCGCCTCGGAACTTGGGTTGTCGATAATAGAAACAGGTGTCTCGATTTCAACTGCTTTCTCTCTCTGCTTCCTTCTTATGCAGTCGCCATCGCTCTGGTCCTAACCAAGTGGCAGGATAGATCCTCGTCCATTTAGTAGGTTTCTCCTACCCACTGGGAGATTTGCCTTATCACCCCAGCATCTTCAGAGTATCCTCCTTAAT